ATCTGCAGTTTTTCTAAGGAAATATGTCCACTATATTTTTCAATTCCTCCTTCATCGAAGGTTAAGCTTATGCTGAGCTATATACATTCCACCCTGTCCATATGAAAAATAGAAGTTTTTAAGGAAGACAACAAAAATGATTTCATTAAAAAATAATAAAGTAGACCTAAGATCAGAATTCCTAAGGAAAAGGTCTAGAAGTCTGCATTTTTTATGAACACCCCACGTGACTGCAATGCACAGCCAGATCTAGGATTCCTTCCTGTAAGCACCTCTTCTAGTGGTGCAGACAAGGGCCGGGGGATGTGTGTGCTGATTCCTAGAATCATAGGAAATATGACCTCTAGAAAGTAGGGAAAGGCTCTGCATAGACTGCAACTGGGCGTTACAGTACACAAGAGGTCTTGCATAGCTGTGGGGTGGGAGTGGGACCACCTGTAGAAAATGTTTTTCTAAAACCAACTTTATTGAGTTGATTTTATTTATTGAGGTGTAATTTCCTTGGAATGAAATGCATAAATTTTACTATATAGTTTGATGAGTTTTGAAAAAATACATTCATCTGTGTAACAACCACCCTAATCACACTACAGAACATTTCCTACACATGTAAAATTTCCTTCATGATACTATGCAGTCTGTCCTCTTACCACCTGGATCCACACTCCAGGCAACCACTATTGTTGTTTGCATCAGTTGTTTAGATTAGCTTTGTCTGGTCCTGTTGAAAGACATGTGGGACTTTTCCAGTTTTGTGCTGCTATGAATAAGTTTCTATAAATATTTATATGCCTTGTTAAGCTTTTTGTGGATACATGTTTTTACTTCTCTTGAGTACATATCTAACAGTGGAACTGCTGGATCATGCAGTTGGTACGTGTATAACATTATAAGAAACTGCCAATTTTCTATGCATTTTTGCATTTCTATCAGCAGTGTAAGAGAGTTTCAAATGCTCAGCATCCTTGACAACACTTGGTATTGTCAAGTCTTTTTAATTTCAGCCTTTCTATCATATAAAACTTATTAAACCAAACTTCTGTTATTGGAGAACTTTGTTGTGATAAATATCCTCACATATTAATCTCTGTGCAACTAGAATTTTTTTCTTTGTACAATTTTCCATAAAAGGAATTGTTGGGTAAGGGTGTCCTCTTTCAAGGCAGTTTCTTGTTTTCATAATGACTTCTTCTTGGGCTTAAATCTAGCTTTTACATGATTGAATTAATTTATTTGGCAAAACTGCCATTTGTTTGATTTCCTCTTTTTTGTCTGTTGGTGGATAGTTTTTGCAGAAAATCCTAATAAATATTCATACTGAATCAGGTAAAGACACCAAATTTCTTGGCATATTTGTTACCTCTTGGTTATTTTTTTTCCAGAGTTGATGTGGTCTGTAGGCTGCATCAGCCCATATGCATGGCTATTTGGTGTTCATAATGATGAAAAATATTAAACTGCCAACATCTAAAATTTGGGGGGGTATCACATACAGCCTGTGGATTTTCAGGCTCTCTTGAAAAACAGGGACTCTGGGGACACTGGGCCAGCATACCTGAATGATATGAATTAGTGGGAAGGGAATAATTACTTTAGTCAGAGCATGCTCTTTCCATTTTGTCATAGTTCTCACTCAGCCACAGTCATTATACGAGTCAAACTATGTCCTAATCAAGTGACACTGGCTTTGATTAAAACATAGCTTGACTTTTGTTCACAACTCCTGATTTCGTAGGATAGAACCTATCAGAAAACTAAGGCTAGCCACGTAAGGTAGACTTCAATTTACTATTCCAAACCATCATCACGTGGCCGCCACATGCAGGTATGAAAATTTCCCAGTGTCCATGACTGATACTCTGTCTCTTGCTTCCCTCTCCTAGACCTCCATCTGGTAACCTATCAGTTTATACTTCCAAAAGGAGACTTCACTCTTCTGAGATACAGAACAGAGATCCTCTCTAGACTTTAATAAACATAAGCTTTTCTAGGTTTTTCTAGTTTCCCTAGGCCTATGTGAACAGAATGCATCTACATGTCTCTCAGCTATTTCAGGTGTCAGTTTTAAGGGTATATGGAAGATATGACTCTAACTTGTCACCAGTATTTAATTCACAATACAATTATGTTGGGATCAAATAATTAATGGGGGATGTTCCTGTCTATTTCCCTACCCAGCCAAGGAGAATCCTCTAATTACCAGATCAATTTCCAGATTCTTTTCTTCCTACAAATAGGGATTCTTTTTTCCTGCTAGGAGGGAGGGAGGGTCAATCTACATAATAAAGTGATGTAGAAAAGACAGGGTGAGAAGTCAGAGAAAGTAACATGATGGGAAGTTATGTGAACTGAAGATGATGAGAAGAACTGTGAACTGAAATGCTCTAGATTGGCAGCAAGTGTGAGGCAGGGGGGTAGAGGGCGAAAGGGGTTTTAATAAATAGTGTATGGTCATTGAATTTGGATACCCTTTACGGTTTTTAAGAAACATAAGGGTTTGAGTTATTTTGAAATTACTTTTGGCTATGGGAATCTGTGTCTTGACTGCAACCTTGGTCTGAGACCAAACTGTGTCTGTCCCAGGTTTGTAAAGGTTACACAGGCTTATGAATAGGTTTTCCTTGTTCAGATCCTTCTCAAATTGTGCTATGATTGTATTAATTTGCTGTCCATGAGAATGGTGAGTACTGGACACCTGTTTAAACAAATTTAAAATTGTTCCTTCTGGCCAATAGTTTTGTTGTATACTCTCTTTAAAAAAAAAATCCAAGACCAAGACAATTGAGACATACATTTCTGTTCTCCTTTTCTGTTTATATTTCTCATTCTATGGTTTTTCTGAGGTAGGGAGTCCACATGAAAGGTCATAATGCTTCTGGCTCTAGGGTTTAATTTCTTAAACACATCCCAGGTCAACTGGAGTGCTAGAGCTTATTACTTTTAAAAAATCAAACCCCTGCCAAGTGAAAGGAGAGAAGGGCATGTTTAGATGAAAGTGCTTGATGTTCAAATTCTGCAGTTTGTTGACATTTTATTGCTCAATGCAATTTTTCCTACCCTTCAGGGCATTTTGCTTAATGGTTTCACAAGAACAGTACAATGAGGCTTCAAAGCAAGCACTAGGTTTTAGCAACAATGCTCTTACTCTAGTTTATATGAGTCACATGTCCAAAACTTTGTATAAATCTGAAGTTTTTCCCATAAACACTCATGCCCAGAAAATATGGTAAGCCATGTTAACGAGCCATATTAGATATCACACACTAAATGGAAACAAACCAGATAATTCAAATGTAATAGCAGATTCTTGCAGAAGCTAGGGGAAAGATAGGTGTACTTAAATTACATTTTAAATGTACTATACTGAATTCATTACAGGATATCTGTAACCGGTGGTCTGATAGTGCTGGCTATTGGATATGAACTTGTCATTAAGAACTGGCTGTGTTGTGAAGAATATGAAAATGAATATATGTATGTATATGTATGACTGAAGTATTATGCTGTACACCAGAAACTGATATACTGTAAACTGACTATACTTCATTAAAAAAAAATTGGCTATGTTGGTATGATGTCTCAAACACAGAATTATTACAAATACACCAACAAGATGATGTACAACTGTGGGAAGTCTGTCCTTCATGAATATTTATTCTGTAGGTCAAGGGAGATATGAGCAATTTATTGCCTTTAAAGTGGTTCTCATCTTAGTGAACCATATATATACCAATAAAACATGGCTTTATGAGGAGATATATACTTTTATGGTTAAAAATGAAGTGCCAATTCTTACACTTAGTACTCGAAGGGCTATCTAATCCCTCTCTTACTATTATCTGCTTCGGGAGCTGACTCCCCTCTCCCTCCCTGTATTTGCACTGGATTGGATACTTCTCATGGTCAACCATGTCAGTCCCAATAGGAGCGTTTCTGGGAAGGCAGCCCATGGAAACGAGTAGGCCTAGAAGAAGGTCTTGCTTTAATGGTTGCACCAACCTAAAAACAGTTACTAAGAGGGATTGTGGAATCTCATTCTCTGGAGGTTTATTAAAGAACATATCCACTTTCCTCTGTCTGGAATGGTTTGCATGCACCTCTTCTAGCCAGCGCTGGGAGGCAGTGCATCTTGCAGGTCTCTGCCCTGTATACCGTGCTTTTCTTTTCGATGTGTTTATTACCAGAAAGCAGAAGAAAGGGCTCTCTTACCTTACAATCAGAAGATCTAAGAGCAGGCAGAGATGGTAAAGTCACTTCCTGGCTGATGGTTTTCAACTGGGTAATCCTCCAAGAACTAACATCAGCCAAACCTGCAACATTTAGGAGATTGTGGGGTCTGAACTTGTGTTTGGGAAGATGTTAGTATGTATTTGAAACTTCATCTCACAGCCATTCTGAAATACTCATTGCACAACAGAGGAAATTTTCAGCCCTGGTTTTAAATTTTCTTCCCTCTTGCGGGCTTAGGGACCGACCTCAATGTTATTTTAACTTTGTTTCCTCCAGGCAAGGAGATTTACTTAATTAGGTAGTCAATCAAGAAACCCTGTGACTGAACACTTAGTACAGTGCAGCGCGTGTGCTCCTTATGGTTTGTGGTGTGTCTGGAAAATAAAAGGGGCACATGAGATGAAGCACCCCTGTTTAAACGTGTCTTGGAGGAAGCTGAAGGATATTCGAATAAAATCACAATTTTAAGTGTTCCTCGTGCCAAGATAAATTCTGGTAAAATGGTCCTAAAATCAGAGATGTGATCAGACATAGAAAACAAACCTATGGTTACCAAAGGGGAAAGGTAGTGGCAGGGAGGGATAAATAAGGGGTCTGGGATTAGCAGATACAAACTACTATACATAAAATAGATAAACGACATGGTACTACTGCATAGCACAGGGAAATACATATCTTGTAATAACCTATAATGAAAAAGAATATGAAAAGAAATATATATATATTTATAACTGAATCAGGATGCTATACACCAGAAACTAACACAACGTTATTAATCAACTATACTTCCAAAAAAAAAAAAAAACCAACTGGAGGTGTGACTTTTCTTAGTTGTCAAGAGTTTAAATCTGGGAAGAAACAATAGCTAAGAATTCCCTTGGAATGCAGATTTTGTACATACAGGCAGAAAGAAGCCCTTTCTGTGTCTTCTGATCACTCTAAAGCTTAAGGATGAATTGCTTCCTCTTACAGACTTATCATTACAATCCAGCAACTGTTCAAAATGTGACATCATGAGATTTTCTCACGAATGTGTGTGCAGATCCAGGTAAACAGGGAAGTTTGCAGCCATGATATCAGGAATCCATTTAAGCAAGCTACAAAAAGAATGGCTCCTTTCTCCTTGAAGTCTTTATATATAGATTTTGGAAACTGGCTTTGACAATAAATCCTGCACAGAAAGGTGGGCCCTAAAAGGCAACCACCATCGGTAACATAATGACAAGTAACTTTTTTTTTTTATTGTTGATTTACAATGTTATGCTAGTCTCTGGTGTACAACATCATGATTCAGTTAAACACACACATATACATATACTCTTTTTTATATTCCTTTTTATTATAGGTTACTACAAGATATTGAATATAGTTCCTGTGTGATACAGTAGGACCTTGTGCCTATCTAGTAGTACAGCATGTGTCTATCTATTTTATACATAGTAGTTAGTATCTGAAAATCCCCAACTCCCAATTTATCCCTTCCCCCCTTTCCCTCTGGTTAACCATAAGTTTGTTTTCTATGTCCAGGAGTCTGTTTCTGTTTTGTAAATAAGTTCGTTTGTGTCATTTTTTAAGATTCCACATGTAAGTGATATCACATGGTATCTGTCTTTCTCTTTCTGACTTCACTCAGTATGCCAATCTCTAGGCCAGTCCATGTTGCTGCAAATGGCATTATTTTATTCTTTTTTATGGCTGAGTAGTATTCCATGATAGATAGATAGCTAGATAGATAGATAGATATGTAGGGAGAGAGAGGGGGAGAGAACCACTACTCATGGACATTAAGGTTGCTTCCATGTTTTGGCTGTTGTAAATAGTGCTGCTGTGATGAGTAACTTTCAGTCTAACTTGTTATTTATTCCCTGTACCTACTATTCACTGGCTGTAACAAACTGAGAAAATTTAAAATATATTTATATTGAAAAGTACAGTTCTTTCAACAGAGATGAATTGAAGGTGAATCAGTGCTACAAATAACAATAGATAAGTTTATTAACTTGTTAACATGTAATTAACTCAAATACAGAAAATGAGGAAGGGAACCTTAAGAGAAGGGAAGTATGAATTATTCATCTGTGAGCAGCAAAATTTTTGCATAAGGGACAAGTGGTACAAAAAAAGGGGGGAAGCTGAATGTAGAATGAAAGCTCTCTTCCATCTCTTTTGATCATTCTTTTCTTTGAACTCAGGTAACATGTTTTACCTGTTACTGGGTGAGTTTTCTTCCATCTCATACCACCTTGCCCTGCCTCACCAGCATAAAGGAACAGAAGGTGGCTTTTGTGCTGTAACTCAAGGTGGTGGTGACAGACCTAGACTCTTTCACCGTAAGCTCCAGGAGACACACATACCTGCACCAAGTTCATCTTTGCCAAGAGAAGACCCTCTACTCCTACCCATCTCCACCCATACAATCCTAAACACCATCCTCTCCCCATTCAACCACCCTCCCTGACGGGAGAAGGAGAGAAAGTAGAAAGAAAACGATAATAGATAAACAAGATTATACTGTATAGCACAGGGAAATATATACAGGATCTTGTGATAGCTCTCAACGAAACTGGCCCTTGGAGCCCCTACCACACTCTGTGTCAGAGTCAGAGAGAAAGAAAGGAGAGACAACTCAATGGCAGAGTCAAGCTTATTTTTGGAAAACCTGCAAAGGGGGTCTCCAGTTAGACTGGAGCCTGCGCTCCGCATACAGGCTTTGGGAGAGACCCACAGAGGGGGTCTTCAGACAGACTGGAGCCCGTTTTTCTGCGAAAAAAGCAGCGGGATCAGTGAAATGGAGGTTTGGTCGTATCTATCACCTCGTGCCTCATCTTGCACTTCACATACATTTGTGTATGACCTCTCCTGCCCTGATAGACAACAAGCAACTCAGGTAACAGCTCTCTTACACCGTTAATCAGCATTCCCTTGCACACAAAGTTGGTGTGGGTTTCAACATCAGTTAAATAAAACGAATGAGCAGAACTGGGCAGGCAGGGGGTAAACTGGGGAAATGGGCCTCAGCTACTGCCCAGACTACGTCCCCGGCCCTCTTTGGGAGAAACGTGAGGAAAGGATAATGTAAATGTCATGCCAGGTCAGGTCGTAGGACTGGGTAACGTATAGGAATTCCTTTTGGAAGGTGACAGGATCTGCTGAGTATGACTCGCATCGTTTTTCGATGGTTGAGGTCAGAGAGGGAAAAAGGGACATGGACTAGGATGATGCTGTTAGTGCCTGCTACCTCACGGAGGGGGAGAACGGCTGAGGTTGTGGAGTCAGGGGCTGAGGGTTGGGTTTGAGCTCTCGTGCGCAGGGGAGAGAGGAGAGTGGGCCTCAGCGGGGGAAGGAGGGTCGGGGTTCTAGAGAGGAGGGGGTTCGTCTGCGGGATAAACTCGAATATGGAAGGCTTGGTGAGAGGATTTTGGGGGTCAGCTTTTGGGAGGCTGGGGTTGTCGAAGAGGGGGTTCAGTTAGGAGGAGAATCTGGTAAGGAGAGCAAGATTGGCAGAGGGAGCGATGAGATCTGAGGTACCAAAAGGCTTGGAGATAGGGGACCTCTGACCATTTTCCATTGTGCTGGAGGAAATTGTCAATGTCTTTAAGAATTTGGAAATCAAAAGTGCTGTTTTCTGGCCACTGGCTGTCATTGTCAAGTATATATTGTGGCCATACAGTACTACAAAGGAAATTGAGAAGTTTAGGTCTGACAACCTCTTGAAGGTCAAGGTTTCAAATGTTCCGAATCAGACAGCCTAAAGTAGTGTACCAGGGGGGCTTAGAGTAAGCCTCACCCACTGTAGGTGAGCAACGAGGGAACCCCAGGCCACAGGGAGAGCGGGGGCGTCCCCGCCGCTGTCAAAAGTTGCCGGCAGAGGCAAGAGCGCAAACGGGGGCGTCCCGACCAAATTCGGTCTGCTTACGAGCAGAATAGTCAGAACCTCGTGGTGTCCCACAAAAATCATGACTATCAAGCACCCAGTGGTGACCTGAAACAGATTCCCACCTGGCCGGGGCTTCAGAGAGAGAGAGGGGTCCTGGACCAAGGGAGGGGGTCTCAAGCGCTAGACACCAATTAGAAGAGACGGGATGAGTGACAAGTCATGGACCAGTATTGGATGCCACAATGGAAAAAGGGTTCTGCCGGAGCCGTTAAAGGGAGGGGGGAGAGAGAGGAAAGAGAGGAGACACACTGGACGGGCAGTCAGGCGGTCCTGGTCTCCAAAACTCCCTTCAGAAGTCAACCGGAGAGTTGCCCCGGCCGTGACCTCGTCACCTGAAGAGAAGAAAACCAGATCCTTCGCACGACTACTCTGTGAGGAGCAAGAAAGGAAAGAGAGGCGACACCCTGGATGGGCAGTCGGGCGGTCCCCGTCCCCAAAACTCCCTTCGGAAGTCAGCCGGAAAGTAGCCCCGGCCCTGACTTCATTTGAAGAGAAGGAAACCAGATCCTCGGCGCGACTCCTGTGAAAGGAGATAAAGTCGGAAAAGAAACCTACCTCAGAGTCTGGGAGTTAGCCCGGGCCAGCTGCCGCTGCCCACTGCTTCCGAGGTTGTACGGAGGGAGACTAAAGCGAGGAAGAGACTGGTCCCGGGCTTCGGCACCAAAATGTCAGAGTTGGAGAAAAAGAAACAAGAAAGAAGCTGAACGCCAGAGTCAAGTCTATTGTTGGTACACCAGCAACAACACTTCGCAAATGGACTGGAACCATGTTTCTGAGTACAGGCTTGTTTATTTATCCCCACGGGAGAGAGCTGATTGGTGGGCTCTTATGCAAATGAGGAGTACTGAGAGGTAAGTTTTGATTGGTGGGTATACTGAAAGTGGAAGGCGTGTGTCTGAAAGAGAGAGGGGCGGGGATGAATGGTCCCGCCGATAGTCCTCACTCAGGTCCGGGGAGGCAGCAGTTGTTATGCAGATGTGGTATGCTGAAAGGTAAGTGCTGATTGGTGGGTTTTGCAGAAGGCATAACTTGCTTGCGGTGGGCTCGGTTTGTCCCAAAGTAGCAGCGGATCAGCGAAACAGAGGTTGTTCGTGTCTGTCACCCTGTGCCTTGTCTTACACTTTACATACATGTGTATGTGACCTCTCCTGCCCTGGATAGACAATAAACAACTCGGATAACAACTCTCTTACACCCTGAATCATCATTGCCTTGCACACACAGTTGGTGTGGTGGGTTTCAACATCAGTTAAATAAAATGAACGAGCAGGATTGGGGAGACAGGGGGTACGGTGGGGAAAAAAATGATCGAAACGTTTGTATTTATTTCAGCCTACATATTTTCAGAAGGTCTAGAGAAGGCTTATAATAGAGATGCGTCACAACTATTTAAAAAGGAGTAAGAACAAAGAAAAGGGGTGGTGTTGAGAAAGACTGGTATTTAGCCAGAGGGGTCGCCATACCCACGTATGCCACCAACTGCAGACTGTGTACGGTTACCATCCGCGAGTGAATGAATCCGCGAATGTAGAAACCCAAGGACATAGGGGGCTAACTACGGGACTTTAGTAATCTTCGGACTTAGGTATCCATCGCAGCTCTAGTAACCAGTCCAACGCGGAGATAGGGTGGAAGAATGACTAAAAAAACTAAGCTAAAGATTGCTACTGAGATGGAATGCAAACTTCACTTTTGGCCTTTTCCTGGCAGGCAAGACAAAAAGGAAAACACAGGTTATATAAGATTCTTATTAGCTAATAAAAAGAAGCATGCCAGTTTTTCCATAGAAGCAAATTTTTTTTCCTAGCACTAACTCTAAGAAGACTTTATTTTATGGCCCCTAATAGAGCCATTGGGTTTTTTTTAACATATGATGGTTTCAGTAACAGTTTTATTTTAAAAAATACACAGAAACTTTTCCTCTCTGTGGCTACTTCCTGTATTGATTTTTGGTAAGTGCCATAGTTCACAGATGACATTTCTTCGAGGATGTAGTTCAGTCATCAGCAGTGAAATGACGTTGATGGATTACATCTGGGTCCATAGCCTATGGAAGGACCCTGAGAAAGGTACATGGTAATAATAATGACCACAGACTACCACACTAAATATCAATTTGACATTATTAGCAAACAACGTTGTATTCAGAGTGTAACTTTGGATGCATTCTTTGAAATTTGTCTAAATCTGCTTTGGCACATGCATTTTGCTTTGATTCTGGGCTTTCATCATAATAAAATACTCTGAATTCCTTATAGATACAATTGTTGCCAGAGAATAGGCTCTTGATTTGCACAGGAAAGAATTCAAGTGTGGCATAGTAAAGTGAAAGTAAGTTTACTCAGGGAGATACACACTCCATAGGTAGAGTGCAGGCTGTCTCAGAAGGCAAGAGAGAGCAACCACAAGGTGCAGGGTTGTTATTTTTTAATAGACTTGGTAACTTCACATGCTAGTGGAGGATTGTTTCAACTATTTTGGGGAAGGGATGAAGAGTTACAGTAATCAGGCCTCGCCCACTTTTGGACCTTTTATGGTCAGCCTAGGAACTGTCATGGCTACTGTGGGTGCCCCATGAGGCTCAAGGTCTACTGGAAGTTGAATCTTCTGCCATCTTGGTTCTAACAAGTTTGTTCTCAATTGTGTCATTCCTTCAGTGGTTGTGCCCTGCCCTCTTCCCTCCTATTTCACAACAATCAAACTGATTTCAGTAGCTCCTAAACTCCTATGAAGAGAAACCACTCTGGGGGATTTAAAAGGGGTTCTAAAAGAAAAGTTCTCTGGTTTACAAATCAGTTAAAGTAGCAAACACCATTAAACAAAATTTCTTTTGCACTCTGAGATTCTTCAAGAGTTGGACATGCTAATATGCTCACAGTTTGAGTTCCCTGGTAAGTGGACTCTGACCTCGAGATGTGTGGGAAATTTATTATAAATGGCTGCAGGGATCAACTCTCAGGGGAAGGGAAGGGAGCAGGAGGAGGCAGAGGAAGAAATTGGGCCAAATGCATGGGGAGCTCTGGAGATAGGATGGCTTTTTGAAGTTGTCCCCGGAGAGGCTGAACCTGTCTCCTCCCTCACTGACTGGTCACAGGCTGCCCTGGGAAGGGGCGTGCTTTGGGGCAAGGTGGCTCTTCAGCCAAAAGCAATGCCCAGAGAAGGCTAGCACCTGAGGGCTGTGGGCCAGGAGCACTGCCCACTGCTGGGAGAATAAGTCCTTTGTTTCTGAACATGGTCTATCACAATATGTTATGGGATTTTGTACGCACTGTTCACCAAACTAACAAAACCTACTTTAATCCTACTTTGGAGCACAGCCAAACATCTCCTAGACCTAGTGGTGGAGAGAATACAATTTGGGAAATGTGGTTTTATTCCAGTGGACTGGATGTAAATAACTTCTTCTGCATGATGAATGCATCAGTTAGGTTTTAAACTTGTCTACTTCTACCAGAAGTCAGGTGTCAGTGACTTAGTCAATGAGAAAAGCTTATTTTACTCACATAACGGGCCAGATGGTCCAGGGCTGACCCGGCTGCTCACGGAACCAGGCTCCTTTGCTTCCTTTTTTGGCACATGACTTTATTCTCATGGCTGCAAGGGGTGCTGCTCTACCCCGGGGGAAAAGTACAGGGGCAAAGACTGGTGCCAAGTAAGCTTCCTCCTCCACAAAATCTTCTAAAGCACCATCTCGTGCTTTCTACTGACTTTCCATTAGCCAGAACCGAGTCACATGGCCATTCCTAATTTCAAGGGCATCTGGGAAAGTCATTTCACCTGAAAACATTTAACTGCCTTCTCTTAATTAGGGAGAAAGGGAGAAAGGCTACTGAGAAGGAAACTAGCACTGCCTACCACAAATAAGAGAATTTAACTCCTTCCTTCCTTGTTCCTAACTGGCAGAGCAACTGCAGGAACACATTCCACAGAAAAAAATGGATAAAATATATTTATAAAACATAAACATAAATCAGACCACAACGTCACAACTGATTGCTCCACTTTTCAAATTTATCCCATTTAACTCAGACTTTCCACATTTCATCAAAAGCACTATGCATTTATTAACATAGATTTATGGTTGCATTTATATCACTTGGGACAGAGTTGTGCACGTGGCAGGCATTCACTCTGTGTGTGTGTGTGTGATGTGTAAACAAAGGAACATGGCTGGCACAGAACACGGCACTGTACTGTGTAATGAGGTCATATGTCATGCATCTTGCTGGCATATTCTGGGAAGCCCCTGCAATGATGGTTAGGGAGTAGGTTTTAGTCTTTGCTTTGGTGTGCTTTTGTCTTCATTTTGCCACTGCCAGATGGGTAACTTTCTGATGATTTGACTTTTAGAAACATAGACTTAGGAAGCTCAGGGAAATAACCATTGAAAAGCTAGCTTCATTATGATGAAACATGAAAGTGCAATGACCCCATCCTTCACTGAAAAATTGTTGTTCTGTCTTCTACCTATCCCATCCAGGAAAGAAGATTCACTTTCTAGAATTATATGATTTGTAAATTTCCTACATTTGAAACTATAGTGTTGAATATAATTTTCAGTGTTTAGACACATTACACATAAGAGAGCAATGACCCCAATGACACTTCCCTAGAACATCTAATAGCCTCTTGTCCACACCCTATCCCAGGTTTAGGGGTACATTGTTCTTCCCCTCTCCTTGAGGAAAGCTCTTTTTTGGGCAAGACTATCTTCTCAAATATTGTCTCAATAGATAGTTGACAGTATCACAAAATTAAAAATAGATGCCATGGTAAATGCTGGAAGATTCTGCATTTCTAATATGCTCCCAGTTGAGGTCAATGCTGACAGTGCCTGCACACACTCTGAATAGAAAACACTGGTTTTAAAAGTTGACAGCACATTGGAGTCCTGGGGGAGTTTTTACGAGTACTGCTGCCCGGTTCTACACTAGAAAGTTGGATTTATTTGTTACGGGGTTAGGTTGGGCATCAGATTTTTAAATGCTCCCCCAGGGGATTCTAATGTGCAACAAAGTTTGAGAACCACTGCTATAAACCAGTTAAAATACTTTTTTCCACAGTTTCCTCCGAATGCACAATTTTGGTGGACTTCTCTCTCCTTGTATGCATCACTGCAGTTGATAGCAACTTCTGGGTCTCTTACTTGAGAAGAGTGCCTAGCACAGGGCTGAATTCTTGCATGGCTCAATCACAGGTTGTTGACTCTATCAGCATGTAGAAAGATGTGTGGTCTACTGACATGCTTTGACAAGAAGGGAGAGATGATTTACTTTTCATTGGAAACATGATCCATTTTTCTAATAATTGCAATTCTTTTTCCAGGTTTCTTCCAAGGAAGATCCTACAAAAAAGGCTTAGAGATTTTGGGAATTGAGGGTGGAGAAGAAAGAAGACAAGGGAGGGAAGATGACAGCAAAGAGGAAGGAGAGAGAGCAAGGGAGGAAAAAGAGAGGGACACAGAGAGAAGAGGAGGAGGAAGAGGTGGAAGAAGAATGGGAAGAAATAAGATGAAAACAAGGTGGATATAAGAGTATTGACAAAATTGCTAGTTGATATTCACTAGCCACCATCAATGAGAGATGGTTTTATTGAGATCAACAGTAAACATTCTATTCAGATCAGCAAACTTAGGGTCTCACCAGGACAGGAATCAAGTGCTGGGAAAGTACTGTAAAACCGTGCACAAGTTAAAGAATACTGGGGAATAACAGCAGAGATCACACAGGACACATAGGCAGATCAACCAATGAGAGTTAT